CCATAGCCACTGTAAGGTTGGTATAGAAGCGGAAGAAAATATGTGCAACCAGTTGACCTAGGCAGATCATGCACCACGACTGCAGCTAGCTACGTCCTTGTGCACGGCGACCACCGAGATCTACACTCTTTCCCTACACGACGCTCTTCCGATTCAGCATCATCATCATCATCATCATCATCATCATCATCATCAACCTCAGTATTATCATAAATATAATCAACACCACCATCATCATCATCATCCTCACCATCATCATCCTCAGCATCATCATCATCATCATCATCATCATCATCATCATCATCATCATCATCATCGATCATCATCATCATCATCATCATCATCATCATCATCATCATCATCATCATTAACCATCATCATCATCATCATCATCATCATCATCATCATCATCATCATCATTATCGTCATCATCATCATCATCATCATCATCATCATCATCATCATCATCATCATCACCACTTCATCATCACCATCATCAACATCATCATCATCAACATCAACAGGATCATCTCATCATCAACACCACCATCGTCATCTTCATCGTCATCATCATCATCATCATTTACGGCGACCACCGAGATCTACACTCTTTCCCTACACGACGCTCTTCCGATTCAGCATCATCATCATCATCATCATCATCATCATCATCATCAACCTCAGTATTATCATAAATATAATCAACACCACCATCATCATCATCATCCTCACCATCATCATCCTCAGCATCATCATCATCATCATCATCATCATCATCATCATCATCATCATCATCATCGATCATCATCATCATCATCATCATCATCATCATCATCATCATCATCATCATTAACCATCATCATCATCATCATCATCATCATCATCATCATCATCATCATCATTATCGTCATCATCATCATCATCATCATCATCATCATCATCATCATCATCATCATCACCACCATCATCATCACCCGTGATCCTCATCAACTCGTGTAAAACCTCAGAAATATCTATTTTAGAAATCGGAAGATTACTGACAACATAACTCACATTCAGCCCGGTATGTGTTTG